CCACTGGATTCCCCAGAGGAACAGCAGCTGCCTCTGCCCCTGGATCTCCAGAGGCAGAGACTGCACCTTTCTCCAGGATCCCTGCTCCAGCAGAACCAGCCCTGACCCTGCAGGAGGGCTGAGCCACAATTCCAATGGGACTGCTGCCAACAGCCTGACCCACAGGGTGTCAGGTTGGGTTCTGACTCTGGCAGTGTTGTTCTAGTGCACTGCATTGTTTATTTTATCCTTTTATTTTCTTCCCTAACAGTGAAGGGCCACACCTGGACACAGCACTTGAGTGTCCTGGATTGCCAAGCAAATTGTATAAATTGTGTTATATTTGCCATCTGTATGAGAGTTGTCTTCTGTTCAGTGGGCAGTTTTTCCTTATCTCTTTCCACACCCACTCTTCCGTCTGGGGGGACATCTGCTGATAATGGTCTATTAAATGTCAATGAACTGGTATTCCTGCCCCCATATTTTTTGCTTGAGAGCCCCTTAATTTCAAATTTATAGAAATTCAGAGGGAGGGGGTTTACATTTTCCATTTCAGGGGAGGCTCTGGCCTTCCTTAGCAGGCACCTGTCTTTCCAAACCAAGCCATTGAGGCACCTCTCCAGTGAAAGCCCAGCCAGGCAAGGAGGATCCATCACTTCCCTGGGGCACAGCCTCAGCTTGCCCAGCTCTAAGAGAGCTGGAGCACTGTCAAAAGAAGAAGGAAGCAGGTTTTGTTGTCATTTACGAGAGCGCACGGTCACCTCCTGAGAAGGCACTGTCACCTCCTGAGGTGACACACTGCATTAACAAGGTGATATTAATAGGCAGATCCTCCATGCAGAATTTCACCCACGGAGCTGCAGTGACGTTTAACCTTGTGCCAAGTGCGCAGCAAGCTGATTATTTTAATTACAGGGTGGGATTTTTGTTGTTTTTTTTTTCTTTCCTCATTGCAGTTCCATTATGAGCTTCAGCCACATCACTGAAAAGCTGAAGGGAGGAGGGGTCCATGCAGCATCCAACATCCCCGTGCAGCCAGGGCTCGGTCACCTGGCTGAGCACCACCACGTGGGCTCTTAAGGTCCCCTCCCAGCCCCAAATCACTGCTCAAAACTCTCTGTGCAACACTGCTGGGACATTTAATGCTCAGTACAGAGCAACTCACACTTATCGCACATAAAACATCTACATTTACACCTGAGCTCAGAGTTGGGCTCTTGGCTTCCACCAAAGCCATGGAAAAATCCACATTTATTTGCCTGACAAATAAACCCAAACAAAGTGTTTTTGAGAAGCTCCACGCAACAACCAACATTTTTTCTTTTTTTAATTGTTCCTTAACTTCCTATCCGCAAATCTGCAGAGCACTCTAACATAATCAGGTCCTCTGCACAAGGGATTAGCAGGCTTATATCCCGTGGATCCAATCAGCAAAGTCTATCAGCAAAACATACTTATGTTGATACAGCTATTATAATCTGCATAATTCTTCTGAGTTCACATACTTAATGGATAGCAAACAGAGTCATTACTGCTGCAACTTCCATCCGTAGGATCTCTACGAGCCATTCACTGCAGTGTTTTTTATTATTCATAGCTTTAGTTATTGATTTTCAGCAGAAGATACATGCTTTTAAGCACCATAAAAGCAAGAGAGGAAAACAAATAGCACTATTCCAAGATTAATACGCTGCTCATAATAAAAGTATGGCTGTCACATTGCTCTGGGTTGTGCCGGTGGAGCCTTGACAAATTCCATGCAAAATGGCTGAGTCGCTTAAGCAGCTCATTAAATAATTTAAAGGCAAGTTTCACTGGAGGCAGGAAAGTTCTTCCCCAAATCCACTTCCTTCGATTTATGAGTCTGGAGTACGTTAATCAACACAAGCTGGTGCTGCAACCCAGAAGGGCACAGACTGTGGGGAGGGTTTGAGGGACATGGGATATAGGATAAGAAGAAATGTGATTCCTCTGTGGAGAATTTGAGGGACATGGGATATAGGATTTGATGGATTGGGATGCCTCTGTGGAAGGTTTAAAGGACATGGGATAAAGGATATGGTAGAGTGGGACCCCACATGAAGGGTTTGAGGAACATGGGATATAGGATTTGATGAAGTATGATCCCTGTGCGAAAGGTTTAAGGGACATGGGATATGGGGATAAGAACTGTGATCCCCACATGGAAGGTTTCAGGGACATGGGATATAGGATTTGATGAAGTGAGATCCCTCTGAGGAAGATTTAAGAGACATGGGACATAGGATTTGATGGAGTTGGATCCCTTTGTGGAGGGTTTGAGGGACTTGGGATATAAGATAAGAAGTGTGATCCCCACTTGGAAGGTTTCAGGGACATGGGATATGGAATAAGAAGAAGTGTGATCCCCACATGGAAGGTTTGAGGGGATATGGGATATAGGATTTGATGATGTTTGTTCGCTCTGTGGACCAAGGATCCCGAGCCATGGGGCAGCTGACAAGCTTGGGTGCAGTGATTATCTGTGTTCAAATCATGGGACACCAGGAATTCTCAAGGTGGGGCACATAAACCTGGAAAGTGCAAGGGCAACTCGTCCTTCCCCTTTTCCAGCTGTCCAACAGAGGACGACTATTATTATTATTATTATTATTATTATTATTATTATTATTATTATTATTATTATTATTATTATT